ACTAATGCATAACTAACATAACATAACTAATGCATAACTAACTAGAGACTAATGCATAACTAACTAATGAATAACTAACTAATGCATAACTAACATAACATAATAACTAATGCATAACTAACATAACATAACTAATGCATAACTAACGAGAGACTAATGCATGACTAACTAATGCATAACTAACTAGAGACTAATACATAATTAACTAAGTCACAACTAACTAGAGGCTAATGCATAACTAACCGAGCCGAAATAGATACACTGAACAATAATAAATGACGAAATGTACGTTAATATGGCATCGGTTAACGCAGTGGGGAATAGAATATGGCATTATTTTCAGCTGTATTCTCGCGAGCGTAGCGGATTCGAGAAAATCAATTAATTTAAAGAAAAAACACGCATGAATATGCCTACATACTTCTTTAGTATACCATGACCGAGTTAGATACAAAAAAAAAAAAAAAAAAAAAAAAAAAAAAAAAAACACGCCTAAGAAATTTACTCTCGCAAATGAATTAAAGGTAATCTACCATGACGAGGAAACATGGTAGATAATAGAAAAAAGATGCTCTAGCACGGACACTTGTTCAGATGTTTAAAAAATCACTACACTTGTTTAAAACATAACGGCATGCACACATGGTGAAGAAAAAAGAAAGGAAAAGAATTGCCCATGGCGTACTTCAGTTTTGTTTTCGGAGAGAAGAGCTGGTTCTTGTAGGAGGCTTGGAGTTCGTGTCGCAAGCTTGAAAGAAGCGACAATGTAATGACGAGCAAGGCTTGATTATATTGTCAGACTTTGACACTTACACTATTCAGTGGTTGATTTACATTTACTGAGATATGCCGACGGAGCGGGCCGAGCGGTAAGCACTCTCCGAGGGCACGGTGGGTCTGGGATAAATATTGTTCATGGACTTTATGTACATCATAGCATTCATCTTTACATCAACATATATCGAACCCTTTTGGTTCCCTATTGTTACGTTGTGTACACAACGGGGTCAACTGTACTGCGAAAGTTTAAACTTAAAACTCCCCGTGTGGAAAATCAAAAGGAGCCTGGGCACAACTCCTTGTTAAAAAAAAAGAACATTGCTACAAAGAGAAACAAACAAACACATGAAACTAATATTTGATAAAAGAGCTTGGATATATATACATAAGTGATAAAAATATAGCAACGCCAGCATATACTTCTGGTGCACACATGACTTATCTTACAAACAGGGTGCCTCGAATCCTCCGTCCGTCACCATAAAACACCATAAGTTTAAGAACAAAGAACAAGGCTCGATTACGGCTTCTCTCTATGCCTGCAGCAAGGGTTATCCTAGGCAAGCAGTCTTCCGCAAAGGATCTCTGGCTTACTGCTAGAATAACCCTTGGTTTTAGTCAATTGACCCGTGGATTGGGAGAGAGAGAGTACCTGTACCTGGGCCGTGCGAGCGTGACTCCCTTATTTATCTCCCATACCTTTGCCATCGTCTTAGAGGCGGGAACAAGCAGTTATGGGATTCTGGAGGCTTACAATAACATAAAATCAACATATCTCTCCGTGTACAACTTAGGGCATTAATAACCAGGTATAAAAACAAAACAAAGTATGTACATTCATATTATTAAAAGAATAAAATGAATTGTCGTTGTAACGTCCACGGTGATGGCCCCTGGTGGTGACAAGTAGAGATTCCAGGCATCCAGCCCTGCCACGAATCGCTTGGGACCCCCCTTGATGATTGCGTTTTCTTATGGTTCACTACAATATTCTCCGCTGGCACCATTTTGTGGGGTGCTTGTTGTCACCGCTGGTCACCAATTTGTCGGGGTTTTGTTGGTTAAACGCACGGTCCGGTTGTATGTTTTATTTGTGGTATAAGTTGACGGTAGCGTAGCCGGCTTGTACAGAAGTAGAGCCCCGGGCAGCAGTTAGGCCCGGTAAGGCAGAGGCCCTGGAGGGTTGCCCCCGGGGGAGACAGCGTCCGAACGGTAGCGCGACTCAAGGTAGAGTATTTGTCCGGGTCAAGGTTACGGGCAAAGGTCAAGTGGGATGTGGGCGTGGCTTAGGTAAGTACGGCGGTGGTGTCATGGGCACGCACCGTTATTGGTCACCCCTGCTAGTTGGAGGGTGTGACAATGAAGGCTTCTGACCACTCTTGAGACAGGGACACAGAGAGAGAGAGAGAGAGAGAGAAAGAGAGAGAGAGAGAGAGAGAGAGAGAGAGAGAGAGAGAGAGAGAGAGAGAGAGAGAGAGAGAGAGAGAGAGAGAGAGGGAGAGAGGGGAGGAGTGAGGAAGGGAGGGAGGGACAGAGAGAGAGATATTAAAAAAAAACAATCTTCTCACTCTCCCCTTCCCCCCGCACACACACACACACCTAGACCAAGAGCGACAGTCAGCCCCAAAGCGGCCGCGAGACAGCCAGTCTGGAGCGAAGGTTTTGCTACCCTCTGGCCACGGTTGGTCACACCAGACTGCCTCTTAGAGAGATGTCCGTCACCTTCACTAGGGGGAGAAGGGGAGAGGAGGATGTCGTGGATCACTTCACATCGCAGTGATCACGCCCCCAGTCACTGTACACACAACTTATGCTTAATTTCCTGCGGGATTGCCTGTTCAATTGCTCCTGCGTACCCTCTGCCCTACCTACCAGCGTTATCCTCTCCCGAGGGTGAGGAAGCCCACACTCGCCCTGCAGCTTTGCGCATAGAAACCGAAAAGCGCCTGCTTTGTTTACTGTATTGTATTGTATTTATTTTATTTTACCTTATTTCATTAAAACCTATTCATATGTATTGTTTACCCTAATTAAACCATGAATAAAACACGAACTATATGCAAATGAAAGAATTCATAGAGGGAGTTTTTACATTTATAGAATTCAAATAAGTTATTTTAATCAGTTTTCATATATTTTATCTATTGTTTATTTTTAGTTATTTTATCCTTTTTTATAACATTCATATAGTTTTAAACACTTTTATACTCTTAAGAAAAAGAGAGCCACCCTCACTTAAAATTGCTTCCGCCAAAAGGTAACGAGGGGGGAGGGGTAGAAGCACCAGGTAGGGGGTCTAGCTGTCGCTCTGGTCAGAGGAGGTCGTGGCAAGAGTAATCCCGGAATGGGCACTCTCCTCCTACAACAGTTAAGTGGTTGTGGAGTATCTCTCGGTAGGGTACTGGGAAACTTTTATGTCATTTTTAATTAAGTGCTTTTAATATTTCACAGTTCGTGTTAAATTATCTTTTATTTGTTTTATTTCATGGTGTTTTACGTGTTTGTGCTTTATCAGTTTTTCGTGTTTGTGCTTTATTAGTTTGACGTGTTTGTGTTTGTCTTCTTTTATCCGTATTTTGATAAATGTCATAAAAGGTTTTATGGACACCTGTTTTCCGTACTCTCCGACCGCGGCGAAAGGCATAAGTCGTAACGGACCTTTTAAGGTGAAATGAACCTAAAGATGTAACACTAAATCGTAAACCATCTGCGTTAGGGAATAGATCCGCCGCACACGCCTCTCCGGCTAAATACACGCGTCCCAGTCTTTTACATTCTCGCACCAAACGCATACCCAGACACATACATACACTTACCCACTACCTCTCCGTTCCTTCCACTCTTCCTTACACTGATGCAACGTTCCCATGCGTCAATCAAATGGGCGGTGGCAGCGCGCGCTTTTCAAATCTAGCGAGTTTGTAACCATATGCAAGTTGCTACAAGGAGTTAGGAGAGATGAGGGGTGACGGGAGAGGGGGTGAGGAGAGAGGGGTAAGGAAAGAGGAGAGAGATGGGTGAGGAGTGGGGCGGGGGTGAGGGGAGAAGGGGATAGGAGGGCTGATGGGAGAGGGATAGTGCAGGAGACGACGTGAGAAGAGGAGCGATGGATTGCGTGTGTGTGCAACTGTAGCGTGTGTGTATCGTGTTTGGTGCAAAAATATAAAAGCGGGTGCGTGAATTTCCGCCGAGGAGAGACGTGCGCGGGGAGAGCTCTCCAACGCAATTAGTAGTATAACTAAGGCATATCATGAAAATCAGAACTGGTTATTTACTTCACTGCACTTTATAATTCATCCTTTTCCTTTTACATATAACGTGTTTGCGGTCTAAGTGATCTAAAATGTTTATCAAAATCGCAAATTATTAATATAGCATTCATTATTACGTAGGAGTATTTTGTATTTACTGTGTGTGTGTGTATATATCTATATATAGTACAGGAGGGGTATTTGTATTTATTGTATAGTATTTATTGTACAGTGTTTACTGCATAGCATTTATTTATAGAATATATTGTATAGTATTTATTGTATAGTACAGTATAGTATTTATTGTATGGTATAGTATAGTATTTATAGTGTAGTATTTATTGTATAGTATGGTATTCATAGCATAGTATTTATAGCATAGTAGTTATAGCATAGTATTTATAGTATTCATTGTATAGTACAGGAGGGGTATTTTGTATTTATTGTGTGTGTGCATATCTATATATAGTACAGGAGGGGTTTTAGCCTGCTGCAAAGCTGCCAGTTGTTGCTGCAGATGCTGACTCTGTTGCAGGAACAGACAGCAGCAGTTGGCACTTCACAAGAGGCTCCAGCAAACTGAGTTTGAATTTTGTATCTGTTAATTGGCCTTTGTCGAAAGGATACTTTTTTTCCTGGATATACATCACCGAGGAAACTAAAGTAAATGTTTTTATGGTCACAGAAAACTATTCAGCGTCAGTTATTTAATCAGCGGGGCCTAAAACACTTAAATTACAGATGCGAAGCTTCCTCCTGGAAAAGTGATCCCGTAAAAAAGTCTCAGGAATAGCACAACAAAATTCCGTTTCCTTGGCATTGACTTCATACTAATATAAGACAAGATCAGCTGTCTGTGTTCCTCATCTTCTCAAATCGTCCAAAAAAATATTGCATCTTTGCTTATAAAATCAATAGAGAGATCATATCAGTAGAAATACCAGATAAAATATAAAGAACAATCTAGGTCCTGAAGCGTGTGAACGCATTCGGACAATCGCACGAGACAAATAGGGTGGGGTTCAAAGCTTTGCGGAAATATTGTGGAAATTCGCGAAAAAATGAGATATTTGACCATCCTCGCCCTCCTCGCCACGTTATTCAGAAATGGTAAGTTCGACTATATCGCCCACGCCAGAAAAGTGGCACTACAGGCGATGATTTTACGGGAAATAAGGGCCCCGAACTCGGAGGGGCTGTGGTGTTGAAAGCGCCTGTTTATGCCTTTTACTTATATTTTTAAATTTATTTATTCATGTGTTGATGATCGATTCATGATGTCCTCCACGCCATGGGAGTGTTATCGTTGCGTTGAAGCACTGGGTATTCGGGCTCCGAGAGGCTAGAGGGAAGCCCGACCCCAAGGAAGCCCCAAGGAGATCCCAAGGAGACCCCTAGGAGGCCCGACCCAAGGAGACCCGACCCAAGAAGACCCCTAGGAGGCCTGACCCAAGGAAACCCCTAGGAGGCCCGACCCAAGGAGACCCCTAGGAGGCCTGACCCAAGGAGACCCCTAGGAGGCCCGACCCAAGGAGACCCCTAGGAGGCCCGACCCAAGGAGACCCCCAGGAGGCCTGACTTCAAGGAAGCCCCAAAGAGGCCTGACCCAAGGAAGCCCGACCCAAGGAGGCTCAACCCGAGGAAGCCCGAGCCTTGTGGTCCCAAGGGGACCCCAAGGAAGCCTGACCCAAGGAGACCCAAGGCGGCCTGGACCTGCGTTGGTGGAGTGGCCTCTCTGCTCTCGAGGGTCAAGCTGTTATCGTCGTTATTATAGTATTTTGCATTTATGGTTTAGTGCTCATTGTTCAGTTATTCTTTATATCATAAGCTTTTTCATTTTTATTTTGAGCTGAAAATGTAAGGCATAAAGTGTCTTGGATGCCGTCAATTTATCAGTGCCGTATTGTCAGTTATGAAAGATTTTTTGTCATATATTAAAATTGTACAAAGAAAGGTGAGGACAGAGTATATATGGGTAATATTGGCTAGGAAGAATTTATGTATGATGAAGTCTAGATAAATCTAAAAGATTATGGGATTTAGATTAACCCAATGGTGACAGGTGAAGAAAACTAAAAAAAAATCTACGCTCTTGCGATCAATGGCAGCAAGCCGACTTTGAGCACGGGAGTTCAGTACATCAAGCCAAATCACCAGCTTGCTGCACTTTGGCATGCTGCTGCAGCGTACAGCCGCACTCCACATTTCGAGCAGTTTGTTTTCACTCCTATAGGTGTGACCCGTTGTAATAGTGTTAATATATGATTGCCGCCACCACCACAGTTTTATTAGAAAAACATATTGCCTTTAAGTGAATTACTTTAAGAAATCAAAGCCATAATTCCTGTAATGAAGGGATTAAGTAAAGTAATGTTCAGATTTACTATATTTTACTATTTTTAATTTTACATGAAATTACATAACTAGCAAAAGCACACGGGCCATGGTCTCTCCGTAGATCTCTCCTGAATCACGTCCCTCGGATCAGTGGGAGAGCGGCCTAGGGTCAGCCTCCCGGTCACTCACAGGCAACGTCATCATCGCCTGACCGTACATCGCACTATGTCCCGTCATCACATTTTTTTCCTTTTGTGCCCTGCACCTGTGACTTTCCTTTCTTTTCTAACACCCGTGGAAGATTCCTAACTTTCCACATGTATAGAAAATAATTCCAAAATGCGGTTCAAATTATTTTTTTGTTCTCTGCGCCTCCAGTGCAGGAGGAAAGAGTAAGAAACTTCCACCACTTATATTTTTTAGAAGAGACATAAAACAGCCCAACAATTTATCATCAAATTAGGAATTGGTTCAAACTCAGTCCCACAAAATATACAAGGACACACTCTGAGGGAATGCAGCCTTAGCCTCAAGCTCTCCCCAGGTATTAAGTAAGATCTTACCAACTTTGATATATATCAGAACAAATTACTTCCGTTTGCTCACAGGTTAATTCACAGTACTGATAGCAAAATCACCCTAGAAAGCACAAAGCCACAACATTCACACAACTGCTCCATCAGAAGGTTAGACTTGAGACTGTAGGCTTTACTTTACAGACCATAGCTGATCTAAAGTGGATTTGTGTGTGTGTGTGTGTGTGTGTGTGTGTGTGTGTGTGTGTGTGTGTGTGTGTGTGTGTGTGTGTGTGTGTGTGTGTGTGTGTGTGTGTGTGTGTGTGTTGGGGATGGGGGGTACAAAAATAGATTTGTATTTGTGATGTTATATTACATTTCTAGGACTTAGCATTTGGTGCTACCGCTGTGTGGGCTCGCACCCTGGCTGTGGTCTCTATGACTTCGACTGGCGCTACTACTGGAGCTACCAGTGTCCTGAGCCCTACGACAAATGTGTAAAGGTCATTGAACAGAAGGGAGGTAAGTCAGTTGGAAATTTTTATGAGGTTTAAGTTATGATAATAATAAAGCTGTTGTTGACTCAATGTATGTTGGTTTGGATTTTCTTTTGTAGC